TATATATATATATATATCCTTTTCATTTTATAGCCAAGCACAGTTAACAAGTGGCAAGGGTGGATGCTGTGCTGAACCTGCAGCCTGACTATCAGCCTCACCGCCTTCCTGCTTGACTACAGTATGTCAACACAGATGACCACTGGCTGGTTTTCCTGCCTAGTTTTCAGAATTATTCACTGGGAGTGAGTAGATGACAAGCAAAAACCAGGAAGACAAGCTTTTCTGGTGCCTTTTCTGTTAGAGTTAATCTCTTCTCAATCTCTGTTCACACTTTTTTTTATATATATTTCATTATTTTTATTTTATGTGTATGAGCGTACTGCCTGAATGTATGTGAGTGCATCCGTTTCATACAATGCTGTGGAGGTCAGAAGAGGGCTTCAGATTCCCCTGGAACTGGAGTTAAGAACGGTTTGTAGCCGCCATGTGGGTGCTGGGAATCGATCCTGAGTCCTCTGCAAGCATGGTCAGTGCTCTTAAGTGCTGAGCCATCTCTCCAACCCCCAAACTCTTTTTTTTTTCTGAGACAGGGTCTCATGCCCAGGTTGCCCTCAAACTCACTATGTAGCCAAGGATGACCTTGAAATTCTCATCCTCTTGCCTCCACCAGAAAGTATTAGGATTACAGATGTGTACCACCATGTTCAATTTATGCAGTGCTGGGGATGGAACCCAGGGCATCATGCATGCTAGGCAAGCACTCTACCAACTGTACCAAGTATGTACCAGCTCTACATGCCCAACCCTAAACAAAATTTTCTTTATACCTGAAATTGTGATGTGAATTGAATTTATAATTCAATGATTCTCAAACATTCTTCACACAAATACTCTGATTCTTGGTTATACTTACTTTCAATAGTAATAGGAAATCACATTATATTGTTGCCATTTCCCTAGGAAATGGAGTCTAATGTCTCTTACAGGGTTCGTTGGTTTGTTGTTTTTTTTTTTTAACTTTTACAAAAACTTTATTGAGAATTTCATACATGCATATAAGGGTTTTGATCAAATCCATGCCCACTCCCTCCCTTCCAACACAATATTTTTTGGGTAGTACTAGGGATCAAACCTAAGGTCTTGTGCATACTAGACAAGTACTCAACCATAGAATCTTCCCTAGCCCCTGGGGGCTTCTGAAACAGGATCTTACTATGCAGCCTAGATAAGACTGGAACTCCTCAGTATGCAGGCCAAGCTGGCCTCAAACTCATGGTCTTCCTGGCTCAGCTTCTCAAGTTCTGGGAGTATAGGCATGTGCTACCATATCCAGTCATACTAATATTTTTTGTAGAATAATGTAATATAATAATATTTTCTAAGTTTCCTATAGCATGTCCCATCTGCACAGTTACTACCACCAGTAATATCCACTAATACTTATTACAGCTATTCATTACTTTCTTTTTTAAAAAAATTTATTTATTTAGGGAACTAAAGAGATGGCTCAGTGGTTAAGACCACTGGCTGCTCTTGCAGAAGACCTGGGTTTGGTTCCCAGAACCCACATGGCAGCTAACGATTATGTAGGTTAGCTGTAACTTTAGTTATAGGGGATCTGACGCCCTCTTCTGGCCTCCACAGGCACTGCATGAATCAGTACACTTACATACATGCAAGCAAAACACTCATACACATAAAATAAAAGTAAATAAATGAAAAACTTCCGGAGGATTTGGATATAGCTTAGTGGTAGAACATATGCTTAGCTTGTGACAGGCCCTGGGTTCAGTCCATAGCACCATAAACAAACAAAAAACAAATCCTCCCGGCAAGATGTCTGCCCATTGCACATAGAAGCCAACAGAGCAGCTGAAAGGAAAAGATGGGGATGGTGGCAGTGCTGGACGGACTCCACTCTGCAGGACTAGGAGAGAAGCTGGCCTAGCACCAAGCTCCATTAACAGTGGACAAGCACACTCAGAAGTTCCAGGATATAACTAAAAAAGAAACAGATCTGGAGCCAGGAGTCTTGGGTTAAGTCTCAGCTTTATTCCCTTGCCAGATGATTCTGAGCTAGTCACTTAAACTCTCTGAGCTTCAGACTCCTCATCTGTCAAATGAAGATAATGGTATTGTGAGGCAAACTGTGAGGACCACAGAAGGTGAATATTGAAAACATTCTGTAGGGGCCAGAGAGATGGCTCGGCATTTAAGAGTATGCACTGCTCCTTCAAAGGACCTAAGTTCAGTTCCCAACACTGACTGTGGGGCAGCTCAAACCACCTGTAACTCCGGGGGATCTGGCACCCTCTTCTGGCCTCTGCAGGCACCTGCATATATGGGGCACGGGCACGCACGCGCACACACGCACACACACACACACACACACACACAGAAAAGCTTACCTATAAGAGTTGCCAAAGAACAATGAGGTACTGTTGGTGTGAACCTGATGACAACCAGACAGTCTTCTTCATTTATCTCCTGAACCTCCACACAACTCTCTGTCACCACTTCCAGTTCTTCTAAAGTATTGGGCTTTTCTGGGTCCCGGATAGTTCTTATCAAATCTAAAGAAGCATCAGAGACAAAGTGTTACATTAACATATGAATATCCTGAGTGATGGTGTAAAGGGATTTCCTTCCCTTTATACCAACGTGTCTCAAACTGGGCTGTACATAAGAATAACCTGAGAAATTTAAAAATTCTTGATGCTCAAGGCATCCTATAAAGCAGTTACATCAGAATGCCTGGGGTAGGGCCCAGACACCATTTTTGTTTCAGAGCATTCCTGGTAGCTCCAATATTCAGCCAAAATTCTGCTCCTTGATGGATCCCATGAGTTCAACCACTCTAGCCTTGGGTGCTCACTTAAACACTATACCACAGTTCAACATTCGCTGGAATATTTACTGAATTGCATTTGAAGAACCTCAAAAATCACTGTATATGAAATTGAAGTAATCAGTTGTCAGTCCCACCCACATTTCTCTCCTACTGTCTTTATTTACTTATTTATTTATTTATTTATTTTTTGTCTTTTTGAGACAGGATCTCCCTTTAGCCCCAGCTGGCCTGGAACTCACTATATAGACCAGGCTGGCTTCAAACTCAGAGATCTGCCTGCCTCTGCCTTCCAAGTGCTGGGATTAAAGGCATGCACCACCACACCCAGCTTTATTCTTATTTTTAATCATATGTATGTGTGTGTGTATCTGTGCACTTGAGTCCAGGTACCCTCAGAGGCCAGAGGTGCTAGAGCTCCATGGAGCTGGAGTTACAGGTGATTATGAGCCACCCAATGTGGGTGCTGGGAACTGAGCTCTGGTCTTCTGCAGGAGTAGTATGAGCTCTTAACTACTGAGTCATCTCTCCAGACCCTGTTTATTTTTTAATATTTTATTTATTTTTATGTGTATGAGTGTTTTCTATGCATGTAATGCCCAGGGAAGCCAGAAGAGGGTGTCATATCCCCTGGAATTGGAGTTACAGACAGTTGTTGGCTGCCATGTGGACACTGGGAATCAAACCTGGGTCCTCTGCAAGAGCAGTCAATGCTGTTAATCACTGAGCCAGCTCTTCAGCTCTGTTTATTTATTTTAAAGTATGAGAGATTGAACCCAGGGCCTCATGTGTACTAGACAAGGACTCTGACCAGTTTTAAATTTTTTAAATTACATTTTATGTACTTATTTATTGTGTATTATATGGGTGGGGCAAGCTACAGTGCTTGTGTGGGAGTCAGAAGACAACTTTCCAGAGTTGGTTTCCTCCTTCTACCCTGTGGGTATGGGAACAGAATTCAGGCTGGCAGGCTTGGTGCCAAATGTGTTTACCCCTGAGCTATCTCGCCAGCCTCCAATGATCTGTTTTTTATCTTAATACTTTCCTCCCAAATACCTGAACTTGAAATCTGAGCCATCTTCCATTTCTCTCTTTGCTTGTCTTCCACATGCAAAGAATTACCATGTCCATTCCTCTGAAAGGACCCTGTTACTGTTGTCATATGTCCAGCTTTGTGGCTGCTGTCACTAGCTCTGCCCTTTGGTTCTGAGTCTAGCCTCTCAGTAGTGGACAGACTTTGCCACTCTTTTCTTCCCAGTCTCTGGAGGAATGCCTTTTGCCTATGCTAGCTTTAACAGATCTATGCTTGAGCTCCACCCTTCTTCTCTACCATTTCCTTACATTGGCTTCTAAACGAAGGAAATTTCTGGTTCTTGCCTTTCCTTTACTTTAAAAGTGGAATATTGAAAGGCTGCCCATTTTCAAAGGCTTGATTCAGATTCTACTTTTATAAAGTTGATCCCACCTTCTCCTCAGTCAAAAACTTTTGTCCTGTGACATTTCCCCTTTTCATATTCTCCATGGTTTCGAATCAAGAAACTGTTCTGTTAATAATATGAGAAAACTGTTTTCTCAGAGGAAACTGGTAATGGAGATTTCTGCCAGAAACCTGAGAGTTGCATTAATATTTGCTTAAAAGAATGCAAAGATCCTTGGGAAGTTGGCTACTGTGGTACATGCCTGTAATTCTGGCACTTGGGGGGCTGAGGCAGGAGGATCTTGAATTCAAAGCCATCCTAGATTACATAGTGAGACCCTGTCTAAAAAAGAAAACAAAAAGAATGAAAAAAAAAATCAGAGAAGGGAAGAGAGAGGTAATTAACAACATTAAATGCTACAGAAAAACTCCAGCTAATCAGGTCTTGCTTTGTCATTCAAGAAGTCACTTGTGGGGCTGGAGAGATGGCTTAGCAGCCATTAAGAGCACTGGCTACTCTAGCAGAGGACCTGAGTTTGGTACCCAGCACCCTCATAGCAGCTAACAACCATCCATAACTCCAGTTCCAGGGGATCTGACATCCTCTTCTGACCTCTGTGGGCACTGCATGACATGGGTGCACTTACACACATGGAAGCAATACACTCATACACATAAAATAAAGTAATAAATATTTTTTTTAAAAAAGAAGTCACTTAGGCGTGGTGGCACGCACCTTTAATCCCAGCACTCAGAAGGCAGAGGCAGGTGGATCTCTATGAGTTCGAGGCCAGCCTGGTCTTCATAGTGAATCCAGGCCAGTTGTGACTACAGGGAGACCCTGTCTCAAAAAGACAAAAAAAAAAAAAAAGAGTCACTTGTAAAATAGCTGCTTTGGTAGCAAAGCAAGGAGTGAAAGGGGGAGAAAGTGAAACCGAAAATATATTTCAAAAGCCTTGGTTGGGAAGGGACTGGCAGAAGATGGGCAGAAGTTTTACAAGGAGGCTAGAATCATGACAAAGATTAGGAAAATCTGAGTATGTGTTTTAGTTCAAAGAGAAAGAAAACAGAGAAAAAGGTTCAAAGTATGAAGAGAGTCTGGTAAAATTAATCAGAGGGAATGGAATTAAGACTAGTGCTGCCCTCAACTTTGGCCACAGAACCTTCTTTCTGCAGTGGTCAGCAATTAATGAGGAAATTCCTAACTATGGAGAGATGGCTCAGCAGTTAAGAGCACTGGCTGCTCTTGGAGAAGATACGGGTTCAAATCCCAGCACCCACAATGGCGGCTAACAGCTGTCCATAACTCCAGTTCCAGGGGTGCCCTCTCCTGTTCTCCATGGATAGTGTACAACCTGGGTGCACTTACATAACATGCAGGCAAAACACTCATACACATAAAAAAATAAAAAGAAATTCATAACTAAAACTGGTCAAAGTGCTGAGAATAAGTGTCTGTTGCTCAGCTCTAAATGGGATATCTCTACCCCCCACCCCCCAACACACAGACACACACACACACAGGTTTAGGGAATTGGAGGAATAAGAGTAGAAAGAATGTAAGAGCCAGCGGATGGGAAGGAGTGCTGTGAAATGCTGTCTTCACGACATGATGAGGCCAGTGCACCCATGAACTCACTACAGCTCTGACTCTCTATATAAGAGCAAGTCAACAGGCTCTATCAACATTCCAACAGGCAGCAATAACTGGACTCAGTAAAAGAAATGAAGGGGGAAGAGGATTCGTTCGAGGTACTTGGGGAGGAGTTGGTAGGAGTTGGGGGTGCCTCAGGGAGGGGTGGAAGGAGTTGAGGGTACCTGGGAGGAGTGGGAGAAGTTAAGGGTGCCTGAGAAGAGCAGGAGTTTGAGATGCATATGATCAAGATGCATTGTTTATATATATATATATGAAACTGTCAATGAATAAATAAAAGATATTCTATTTTAAAAACGAATGTAGGAGGCCAGGCATGGTGGTCTTTAATCCTAGCACTTCAGAGGCAGCCTGGTCTCCACAGCAAGTTCCAGGCCAGCTGAGGCTGCAGGGAAACTATTTCAAAAGGACAACAACAACAACAAAAAAAAAAAAAAAAAAAAAAAAAAAAAAAAAAAATGAGATTGTAGAGAATGTAGGAACCTAGAACCTCACTGGCCATGGAAAAGCCCAGAACAAGATGAAGGGGAGAATGGTAAAGTGGTAAGTGGGGTGAAAAAGAGCAACACAGGATTTTAGGGAGGATGGCTTGCTGTTCTCAAGCCTGGGGTGTGTTCTATTACAGCTCCCCTGTAACCAGAAATGCAGCTAGGAAAAACAAATCAATCAAACTCTGCCTTCTCCCTGGCTATCTCTTGGCTTTATCACTTGACTAGAAAATGAATTTGAAAATGTAGGCAGGAATGAGGATAAAGCTTCCCTTCACAGAGCTATGTTATTGTGGGATTTGGGGGAAGCAGAATTTTTTTTTAATTTATTTTTATTTTATGTGTATGAGTGTTTTGCCTACATATACGTATGTAAGTGTACCTGTGTCATGCAATGCCCTTGGAGGCCAGGAGAGGGGGTTGGAGCCCAAGGAATTGGGGTTATGAGCAGTTGTTAGCCATCACGTGGGTGCTGGGAACCAAACCCAGGTCCTCTGCAAGAAGTCAGTGCTCTTAACTGCTGAGCCATCTCACCAGCCCCGGAAGCAGGATTTCTTTTTAATTATTTTTATTTTATGTGTATGAGTGTTTTGCTTGCATGTATACAAGGGCACTTGTGTTGTGCAATGCCCTCAGAGACCAGGAGCAAATGTCATATCCCCTGGAACTGGAGTCAGAGACAAACTGTTAGCTACCATGTGGGTGCTGGAAACTGAACCTGGGTCCTCTGCAAGAGCAACCAGTACTCTTAACCACTGAGCCATCTCTTCAGTCCCTGGAAGCAGGATTTTTTGAAAAGAGGCAGTTTTTCTACCTCTTATCCCAAGTTAGCCTCAGCTATGGAAGCTGTATTATACTCTTTGTATACCATTAAATCCTGAAATTTAATCTTACTCATTATTAAACATTTCTAGTTTTCTAACGATTTGAGAAATTTGGATTTATTTCTTTAAAAACAACAGTTCCAGGGGAAATCCAACGCCCTCTTCTGACCTCTGTGGCATTGCATGACACGGGTGCACTCACATACATGCAGGCAATATACTCATACCATAAAATAAAAATAATAAATAAACTATTAAAAAAAATAGCCAGGTGTGGTAGCACACGCCTTTAATCCCAGCACTCGGGAGCCAGAGGCAGATGGATCTTTGTGAGTTCAAGTCCAGCCTGGTCTACATAGTGAGTTCCAGGACAGCTGGGGCTACAGGGAGAGCCTATCTCAAAAAAAAAAAAAAAAAAAAAAAAAAAATCAGTGCTGTTTCCACACTACTCCTGACTGAAAATTTTCTGTTGCTCTGCACTGACATTAGGATTGTTCATTTATATTTAAAAGCTTCAGGCCAGTGAGATGGCTCAGCGAATAGAGGCACTTGTGACCAAAAAACGCCTGAAGACCTGAGTTCAATCCCCAGGACCTACGTAGTAGAAAGAACTGACCTCCCACTGGCACTGTCGCATGCATGTGTATGCATGCACTCATTCACACACACATAAATGTAATAAAAAATTGTTAAACGCTTCAGTATCTAATTCCAACCTACTATCTAAAGTAAAATTCACACCTCAACCTGCAATCAACCAACTCTACCATGCACCTCCACCTAGTCTGCCATTCCATTTTTTCTCACCAGATTTTATTCAGTTTCTTAGACTTAGTATGTATGACCTCTGCCCCTCTCTAGAACCAAGTCACAATCACTCTTCAAAGCTCACTTCAAGTAATGCTCTAATATTCTTCTACTTGGAGATTACTATCTCTCTTTCCTCTGAATTTCTGTATTTCTTATGTTTCTAATGCATACTATTTTGCATATATAGATTTCATTCAACATAAACTTGAAGCCTAGCCAGGTGTGGCACTCAGGGGCCAGATGTAGGAAGATTTCAGTGAGTTTGAGGCCAGCCTGGTCTACCATAGTGAGTTCCAGAACAACCAGGGTTACAGAGAGACCCTGTCTCAAAAAACAAAACCAAAAAAGCTTGAGGACTAGAATCATGTCTTTTACGAAGTTCTATCTCTATTGCCCTTGCAGTATCTAAATGCTACAGATAGAGGTCTGGTAAGACAGGAATGTTTTCTGGAGATAGGGCACACGTAATTATCTTCTGCCTGGGGTTAAGTAAGTCCTGCCTCTACCAAGACAGAAGTAAACCTGATGATTAGCTCCCCAAATCTTTCCCATCCTTGGCATCTTTCTCCTGGCCTATAATCCTAAACCAAATTGTATTTGTATGGCCAGGTCTTGTAGTGCCACATCAAATCGTTCTAATTTTCAAAAATAGGGATGGGGTGACACACACCCCAACTCCTATGAGGCCATGGATTTTCTCCTCAGCCCAGAAAATTAATACTATATGAATCGGTGGTGGGAGGACAGAAAGGTGAGGGGGTGGGAAGGTGAGAAGAGAGAAGAGAGGCAATTCCAAGTGGTGCTCTACATTTGGAATCAGATAATTGGTTTTCTCTGTTCCTTATTGACAGTGTGCCTCTGGGTAGTTGTGTAATCACTCTAAGCCTTTTTTTTTTCCTTATCTATACAAGTTAGTCCCTCAAAGTAGTGAGTTTCTGAGAGAAGAATGTGTGTACACGTAAGTAGACATATATAACACACCTGGACTGTGTAAGGGAATTGTAAATTTGAAGCCTTGCTCTGAGAAGCCTATCTCGACCTCTTCACTTCCTACTGGACTCTGCCACAGAAGAATGGCTGTGACCTTGGGCCAGTCCCTAAATCGGCCATTGCCCAACAATGACTCCAACAATGGCCTCAGCAGTGGCAGAATAAGCTTGTGTCCAGTAGCTAGAGAAGGAAAGGCTCTTGAGTAACGCAATCAGGCCAGCTTTGCTCCCTGACCACTGTAGACTCATGCTGCCCGCACGTTTTGACATAGTCCCTAGAGCAAGAGGCAGACAAGGGGAAAGCATTTAAGCGTCCCTGGCTCAGTTTTGCATCAGGTTTAGGAAGAGCCAGGGTCCTAGAATGACAGAAATTCCTGTGTAACTTAGGACCCCGGAGAACACGCTTCCTACCAGGTCTGGTAAAAACCCAAGTGACCAACCCAGCTCAAAGGTGAGGCCCTTCTCCACCCCCACTCCTCCCCCGCCTCTACATAAGCCAAATACTGCTCCGTGTAAAGTTAATTACCATAAACCTCTAGCGCTTTCTCTTCCATGATCCGGGGCTGCCGAGCAGCGCCCTGCTCAGGGAGACCTGAGAGCCACAGGACCCTGCTTAGCGTCCAGGAGAGCAGCCCGGACACCCGTTCCATCCTCACGCTCCGCCATCCCTGGCGACTGTCCCAACTGAGCCACCGTCTTTCCGCAGCCGGCCTCAGGATTTATCAACTTCCTGGTCTTCAAATAAACCAAGACATGTGTAAAGGTTCAGGGGAGCAGAGACTACGCGGGACTGAGCGGAGTAGCGCGGAGGGCATAGGGAAAGGGACTACGGGGACTACATATCCCAGCATGCTTTGCTCGGCTTCCAACGGAACAGAAACTACAACCCCTGCAGCCGGAGAGGCGCGTTGCATGCTGGGATAGCTAAGGCTCTCTCTTTGGGTCGGGGCGAACTGTATTCTGGGAGTTGTAGTGTTGGCCAGGAGTGTCTCTGTAACGGACTGTAACGCGTCACTAGTGCCTCACTCAGCTCCTAGGATAAGCTAAAGATGAATCCTGAAGAGGTAGAGGAAAGGAGCTCAAGGTTGCTACCTTTGGAGGAAGTTCCAGAATGGAGACCCGTTACAGCTATTTCTCAGAGCTGCTTCCAAGCAAATCTTCCTTACTTCCTGATCAGGCCGGAAATGGGTTTCCGATGCGGAGAAGGCGAATGTTTTGGGAGGAGGGAGTGGTTAGTTATGGGAGGCGAAGGAGGAAGGGCCTGGGAGGACTTTTGGGTTTCTTGCTTCCTGTGGACTTAGTCCAGCATAACTTCCCTCTATAGGAAATAGTTCTACCAACCACTTTAAACCATCTTATAGCGAGAGAACTTTCTCTGTGTTCCGTGTGTAATGGCAGTGGCGATTAGCATCCTTTAAAAAAAGGATATTTTTTGTCCTTACCTTTTTTTTTTTTTTTTTTTTTTTGAGACATAACCTCACTACGTAGCCTTGGCTGGCCTGGAACTCAGAGATCGCCTGCTTCTGGCTCCCGAGTGCTGGAATTAAAGGTGTGCTCCACCACGCGCAGTCAAAAATGTTTACGCTTTCTGGTGTTCGGGGCTGTAATGGTTGCCAGTTTCAAGATTAATGTTTCCGGTCTCCAGTATTTATTGGGCTTATTTACGTGATGTGCAGGCAGGCATCAGATTACAAAGCTAGGACACTCCCAGTCCTCAAGCAGCTTACAGACTGTGAGAGAACACACCCCTGAGGTTGAGCAGTTGGCAGTTAGAAACAACTAACTTTGCTAGGCATGGTGGCTCGTGTCTGTAAATCCATCACATGAGAGAGAGGCTGAGGGAGAAGGCTTGTCAACAGTTTGAGGCCAGTTTATGCTACAAAATTTCATGCCAGCCAGAGTGAGACCCTGACTCAAAAACAATCTTTCGTCAGTGTTGGTGACAAGTTTCATCTCTATTGAAAAAGAAAGAATTGTCCTGCAGAATTACCCCCATTATCACGTAATCCATGTATCTTTAAACTCTAGTTGACCGACTCACCAAGTTGTGCATAGTTTAGGCCCAAGGAAATTTTCGTTTAATCCTAACAAATCCTCTGCCACCTATTCCACTCCACTTCATAGCAACTGAAAGTGTTCCTAACAAATTTAACACACTGAGATCCCGCCCTTGTGTGAGGCCTTTCAACTCCAAGCAGAATCGATAACCTCTTTTACTGTTGCCACTACAGCACTGAGCAAGTTTAAAATGTTTCTTTACAAACCTGCCCCCCTCATTAAACTAAGTACTTAGTGAGCCAGGAACTTTTTTATTTGAACTTGGAACGCACAGTAAGGTGCCAAACTCACAATGACTGCTCAGTGTATATTGAATGAATGAATGTTGTCCAAAGGATAAATGGCAAAACTGCCTGCAGTCTTTTCAGACCTCAGTCAAAAATATTTATTGACTCTCGGTGAGAGCACTGTGCTTCTCATGAACAGGTGGCATGGAGGTTTTCAAACACTTTTAGTCACAGACTCCTTTATTCAAACGAAATCTTAGAAGCGTGTCAAAGCTAGCAGAGCGGAGAGGCCTGCGGGAACTGGGCAGCAGCTCCTACAGCGGGCTGGACCTGCAGGAGTTCAGCGTGGGGGTCCAGGATTGCGATTGGCTGGGCGGCAAACAGGCCCCGCCCCATCGCCCCGCCCCCTGATCCCTCAGGGTCCCTTCGGCCCTCGCTGCACCTCTCACAGCTGGAGCGCTTTGCTCGCGGCCCTGTCTATAAAGTTGTTGTTGCGGCTTCCGCCACGGGTGGAGGAAGATGGCGTCGGGAGGTGGTGGCTGTAGCGCTTCGGAGCGACTTCCTCCGCCCTTCCCCGGCATGGATCCCGAGTCCGAAGGGGCTGCCGGGGGGTCAGAGCCCGAGGCCGGAGACAGCGACACTGAGGGCGAGGATATCTTCACTGGCGCCGTGAGTTCCCACCTTCCGGGCACCAGATAGGAACGCGCCCCCCAAAGAGAAGAAGCTAAGCAGGGGTTCAGGGGCTCTGGGGACTGTGGGCCGTGGGGCATCCTCGCCGCGTGTCAGACTCCGGACCCCAGGGCCCTGGCTGCGGGACAAGCCCTAGAGCCTCGCCTGGGTGCCCGGGCCGGGCGGAAAGGGAGGAGTGAGGGGTGTGGTGGCCTCCCCCGGGATCCTTCGTAGCCTAGAGCAATGAGGCCGGCCCTGGCCCTGTCGTGGTCACCCCATGGGTCCACCGACAGTTTTGCTGGTTGTGTCCTGGCCAGATTAAAGAGGACAGACAGGTAAGAGGATGGGATACAGATATTCCTTTCCCCTGCCTTGCTGCTCTTAAAATGAAAACGTTATCTGGGTAGTCTGGGATCACGACCCGCCCACAAATCCTCTTGTTAAACTCAGCATTTCCTGTTCATTACCAAAGCCCATTCTGGATCTTAGTTTATGAAAGTCAGGTTGACTCCTGATGTCTAGAAGCCAAAAACCCTTTGAGAGAAGGCCCTGCCAGATAAATCAGGACACAGACCAGAAATCTTTGTTTCTGTTAAAAGAATGCATTAAAGTGCCCAGCCACCGCATTGGAAACATATCTGTACATAGAGAGGGGGGGCATAGTAAATTTCCAGATTTCAAAAGAGAGGTGCTGGCAAGGACACCTTAATCTTTATATGTGGAATGTCATGAGTTAACAGCACCAGTAGAGATGTTGGGAGGACTGTTTTATGAGACTACTGACTCATCCCACTCAGTACAGTTAGTTCCAGCTTATAAACTCTTCAGTACTGGGTCTGTGGATTTAACTTTCTATCTTGGTTATTGTTTCTCTTCAAAGTAGCTACTCAAGAGGGGAGTGGTGGTGTGTGCCTTTAATCCCAGCACTCCGGTGGCAGAGGCAGGTTGATGTATTGAGTTCAGGGACAGCCTGGTCTGCATAATGAGTTCCAGACCAGTCAGGGCTACATAGTGAGACCCTGTCTATAAAAAACAATTTTTTTTTTTAGATGGGCATGGTGGTGCAGACCTTTAATCCCAGCACTGGGGAAGAGTAAAGGCCAGCCTGCTCTGGCCTACATAGAAAGTTCCAGGCCAGGAAGACCCTGACTCAAAAATATAAAATAAATAAAATAAAAAAATAAGCTACACAGTATCTGACTGAGTTAAATGACTTTAAATTCCTTAGGCAGCATGTATCTGAAATGTTTGAATCTACCCTTATTTATATCAGAGAAATTCACCTTTTTTTGCATTATCTTCCATGACCATTGTCAAAATTTTCCCTGTACTATATTCAGAAACTGAGCCCATAATTTCAGCTCATAAAGTGCTTGGTCCTGTTACTATAACAGTAAACTGTCTAATGATGTCTGTTATTCTGAAAAATAATAACTTGCTGCTAATGTAGTCTTTGTACCATTTTAATTACCTGTATATAGTGTATCTTGATAACTGCTGGGATCATAGTCAGAATGAAGATAGAAACTCTGGTATTCGGGAGTTATTTCATAGTGTTCTTAAATGAAGTTCAGTAGAATTTGATTGGTCTCAAGTTAGTGGATGGAGGCATGATACCTCTTTTTCTTAAAATTGTAAAAATCTCTTGCCTACTTTCCAAAAATGAAGGAAGGCCAGAATGACTTTGTTCTACCAGAGAAAGCATAATTATGCTGGGCATGGTGGCACATGCCTTTAATCCCAGCACTCAGGAGGCAGAGGCAGGTGGATCTCTGTGAATTCAAAGCCAGTCTGGTCTACATAGTGAGTTCCAAGCCAGCCCTACTACAGGGAGTGCCTGTCTCAAAAAGACCAAAAGGAAAGCATAATTATTATTTTTTTTAAATAAGCAGGTACTGGGAGTCAAAGCTAGGTCTTTGTGTATGCTAAACAAACACTCTACCACTGAACTACATCTCCAGCTATATAATTATCTTTATTTAGAGTTGACCCAGGAAAATTGAGTTCCAGATACTAATCCTCAGGAGGCCAAGACCCCAAGATTCTTTTGTTTAGTTGGTATTTTTGTTTGCTTTTTTGCTACAGGGTCTGTCTTTAGCCACAGCTAGCCTGGAACTCACTGTGTAAACCAGGCTGGCCTTGATCTCAGAGATCCACCAGCCTCTGCCTCCCAAGTGCTGAGACCAAACGTTTGTGCCACCATGGCCAGCCAAAGATTCTTCACCAAACTATTAAACAGCCGTTAATTATAAATTATGTCTCAATAAATTCTTTAGTTGTTAGCGAGAGAATATAAAGGATTGCAGCATTCTGTGTCATTGTAGTTAAGAAACAGCATAAATTGGGCCTGTAAGTTGGTGCAGAACTATAATCTCAGTTACTCTGAAGCTGAGGCAGGAGGCTTGCAAGTTTAAGGCCACCCTGGGCTACAGAGAAGAAAAAAAGAGAGTAGGCTAGAGGAAGTGAAGTGAGAGGAGAGAAGAGAAAGGAAAAGACGAGAGAAGGTGAAAGGAAGGGACAGTGGGAGAAGGGGGGAAGGGGAGGGCAAGGAGGAAGGGGAGAAGAGAGGCAAGCAGGGCCACACTAAACGGCCAGAGAGCCTCCAAGAGTTCTTGAAGTCTAGTACAAATTTATGCTATATTTCTTGCTAATTTGCTTTTTTTGTTTTGCTATGGTTATTTGGGACAGATTCTCATGTAGCCAAGGCTAGTCTTGAACTCCCAATTGTCTTCCCTCCCCTTCCTGAATGGTGAGATTATAGGCAAGGGCCACCAATCTTAGTTTTACTAGTTTAACTTTCTCAAAAGAAAAATTAAGGCGTGGTGGTGCACACCTGTAATCCCAGCGTTTGGAAGGCAGAGGCCCAAAGATCTCTGTGAAGTCAAAGCCAGTCTAGTCTACAAAGAGTTCCAGGCTAGCTGGGGCTATAGGGAGACCCTGTCTCAAGAAGAAAAGGAAAAAAGCCATCAGAGTAAGCATCTAATGACTTCCATGGCTTCCTATCTTTTGTTTTAAGTTAAATCTGTGTCTGTGTCTCTGTGTGTGTGTGTGTGTGTGTGTGTGTGTGTGTACCAGATGGTGTACTGGGGCTTGAACCCAGGATCTCAAGCATTCTAGTTAAGCATTGTACTACCGAACTACATCGCCAGCCCAAGTTAATCTTCCTCTTGTGATTTGTTACATTTTAGGGACAAAGAGATGGGCATTGAAGAATTGGGTAGCTGAGGCATGTAACATTTAAAACTAATTCATGGAATGCATGTAATTTTCAGGACAACTGCTGCTGTTAATCATCCCATCTGCTCTCTTTTACAGCCAAGAAGCTATGTAATAAAAATGTACTTTCATTTGTAATCAAAAGACCAACCCACTAAGGTATATCCCAAAATATATAAACCATTTATTTCAATAGGAGAGACTAAAGTTAAGAGAATCATGAAATGAATCTGAAGTTATTGCTTTGAGACTAAAAAACACCTTGTAGAAGGTTTGATTCTTAAGAATATCAAAGATTGTCTTTCTACTCTTTATGGACCCATAACTTTAAAAAGTCTAAAACTCTAGCCAACTCTTCGGAGTGAATTTGAATCCAGATTTGTTTTGTTTTTTTTTTTCAGTTGATACTTTCTTAATTCTGGAATCAGAAATTTCCTGTAGTAAAACAGGAGGCTGAACTGGAGCCATTTTTTTGGCTTTTTTTTTAATCTTTTTGAGACAGGATCTCCTTGTAGCCCCAGCTGTCCTGGAACTCACTATGTAGACCAGGCTGGCCTTGAACTCACAGAGATCCACCTGCCTCTGCCTCCCAAGTGCTGGGATTAAAGGCGTGCACCACTACACCTGGCTTCTTTAGGCATTCTTAATTTCTTGAAATTATCATGTTCAAAAGAATTAAATTGGCACACACACTTTTATATATCACATGTCTTCACTGATCTACTTTGTTCTAAGCCTTAAAGGAGTTATAGCTGCAGCAAGGTCTTTTGTCTTCCCAGAGTTCTTTGCTTGTTTGTTGGGTTTTTTGGTTGCGGGGGAGGGGGGTGTTTTGAGTTTTTTTGTTTGTTTGTTTGTTTGTTATTGTCTCATTTGTTTGTTGGGTGTTTTGGGGTTTTTTTTTTTTTTTTGAGACAGGGTCTCACTATGTAGCTCTAGCTGGCCTGGAACTATCTAGTTAGACCAAGCTGGTCTCAACATACGGAGACCTGTCAGCCTCTGCCTAGTGCTGGGATTAAAAGTGTGTGCCCCCAGGAGCAGCTCTTCTCTGAGCACTTATATGCCCATGCCTTTAGCAACATGTAGGACTATGATTAGAGTTGTCTTCTAAATAAAAGGAGAGAACTTCAGTGGTTGAGAGGAAGGAAGAATGTGAGTAAATGAAATCATTGGTTCTGGTTTTGGCCAAATCTGGCAACTTCTTCCTTTGGTGATATGTCAAGCCAATTCAATTTTTTTTCTCATTATTTGTAAACTGAAACCCTAGTGATTAGAGAAATAACTGGGCAAAAATAACATGGGATAAAGAAGGAATAGCAAGGGACTAGAAGAGTGATATGTTGAGTAATTTGCCTTTGACAAGTTTAGAATTATTTACAGAGCCACATGTGAATTGTGCACACCTGTAGTCCCAGCACTTGGGAGGCTCAGGCAGGAGGATCACAAGTTGAAAGTCAGACAAAGCTACATAACAGAGCCTGTCTTAAAAATAACAAAAGATTTATTTATGTATGTCTTCTGGTATTTAAGATTAACAAGCAGTATAGCTTTTTCTTTTTTCTTTTTTTTTTTAGCAATATAGCTTTTATTGGTGTTTAAAAGTACATAATGGCCTGGCAAGATAAAGGCACTTGCTGCCAACCATGACAGCCTGAATTTGGTTCCTACTCCTGAAAGTTGCCTCTGACCTTCACATACATGCTGTGATGTACACACCCTCAAACACACATACCCAAATAAATCAATGTAATTAAAATTAATAAAGTCTTGACTAGCAATTGGCTTCT